CCGCAGAATGATCGAATACGGCACAAGAGAGTTCACTTTAACAAAGTAACTTGTATGTATTAGTAACAGTCTAACGAATAGACATGAAGGTAAACAAGACCGGAAGACATCGGAAGACAGATTTAATCACCACGTGAGCGAAAGGTGAGTAACACACCTCAGCTATTGTGCCGTAATAAAAAAACAAATTTTTATTCTGCATACGCCACCTTTTTCGTGTTGTTGCTTTTTTTAATTATTAGGCGTTAAGCACCTAAATTTAAACAGCTTTCACTGAGGCCGTGTACCGTTTGTCGATAAATATGTAAATTTATTTATTTATTTATTCTGCATTTTTTCCGGCCATCAGCATTCAATGCCCTTTGGTCCCCAATCAAGCTGAAGCTTGGATCAAACGGTAACAAGATATGAAGTCAACGATTTCATATGCTGTCACCAGGTGGACAGTTGACCACCGCGTGATTGCTTATAGCCAAGTTCTGCATGAGTCGAAAGGGCGCAATGGGGCAAAAGCTCAACTTATATGCGCAAAATGAGACCAAATCATCTTAACTGACGCCGCGAAACCAGTATGTTGAAAGGGATATCCGGATTCCTTAAGACACGATGTCTGGCTTCACCGTTGCAGATACGATGTTACCACTATACACGAGCAATCTTCTTCCAGCACGCATTGTCGAAGGCCGAGAGCAGGCGCATGCCACCCACTTGAACTGGCCCTAACTCGCTTGCATATAGCAACACCGCCCCAACCGCGGCATTGTAACCGTGACAATTTACCAAGAGAGAGACTTCCCGACGACGCAACAAGTGTTTCAGCTTGACAAGCCTACCGAGCTTTGGCGATAAGGAGAGAAACTTCCTTCTCAATAACAGACAAGCAGCTGCCCAGATGGACAAAGCTATCCAGGTGTTGAACCTGTGTACCTTCAAGAATGAGCACAGAAACGGGTGAGTTCCAATCCTGGAGCAGTACTTTACACTTCGATGGAGTGAAGCACGTTCCGTACTTTGATGCATCAATGGTTTGCATGCTCTGCGAGTCGTCACTAAGGCGATATCATCGGCATAAGCTAAGTCCGTCGCTCGCTTGTCCGGTTGTAGCTGTAGATCAAAACTTTGATAGCCTACCAAAGCGCTCGACAGGAAGTATTCAATCGCAAAATTGAAGAGGTAAGGGGACATAGGGTAGTCCTGTCGCACACCCCTAATGACAACGAAGGACGAACGAGGCTCCTCACAGACCATCACTCTGACAGAGATGTGCAGGTAGTGCACGTAGGATGGCGGCGTGCTTTACTGGGACCAGGTTCTTCAGCAAGCGATGCCATGGCGCAGATCGATCAACCGAGTTGAATGCAGCACGGAGGTTTAAGAGTTCAACGATGGTACGCTTCTGGTAGGGGTGGCAGTGTTCGAGGATTTGGCGGAGCGTGAATATTTGATCCATACCCCCACGGCCAAGAGGAAAGCCAGTTTGTTCTTCCAGTTACTGCGATTCACGAATGGGTGATAGTCTACGGAGAGGAATGGATGCCAACAATTTGGAGGCAACCGAGACGAAACTAATCCCCTGGTGATTAGTGCATGAATTGCGAGCATCCTTCTTAAAAATCGGGGCAATAACCGACTCACCCCAGGAAGAAGTCACATTTTCTGTAATGCAGATTTTGGAGAACAATGAGGTTAGCTGGTTGGTGATAACTGCGACTCTACACTTGAACAGCTCCGGAGGAACTCGGTCTGAGCCCGCAGTCTTGAATCGTTTCAAGTGTTGAATCGCAAAGCAAACTTCCGCTTTGCTGGATGGATTAGATGTGACGATCCAAGGCGGGCAGCTCGGCTTGCAGGGCATACAAGTAGACGATGATGGCCAATTGAAATGGGAATGGAACTCTTCGACTCATTGATCCAAGCGTCTCTGTAGGCTGGCAATCGGAGAACTACCCGCTTCGCAAATAGTCTCGCTGACATCAGGCTTTCTGGGGCCAATGGATCGAAAGAGCTAGAAGAGTTTGCGAGTATTGTCAGAGAGGGCGGCGGCCTCCATTTCCGAATCACGCTGAGGCTACCAGGCTTCAGGAGCACTGCGTCGGCTTTCTTTGAGATGCCGGCGCAACTCATCATGAGTAGACCACTGGGATATTTCTGCGGCTGTCAACTAGATCCAAAAAGGGCAGGGAGACCCAGGCCTTCAAAGGGTGCTAAGACCAGAGACTAACTGACTGGAGGAGACCATGGTCTTTTGCATGAATGTTGAGTGTTCATCAACGTCTTGCGGTGGGTCGCAGCTGAATGCATCGCCTAGGGAAGATTGATAACTCTGCTGAATCGAGAGAGTGTATAGTTTATTTGTACCTACCTTACAGTGCTACTTTTTCGGAGACTCTCCGAAAATTGGGCAATGTTCGCACAAAAGGAGCAGGTTCTGAACCAATAAATGCGAACCAGATTGATCTGCAATCTTTTACACTATCCCACCATCTGAAACTGATTGTGATATGATCAATCTGAGACCATGATTGGGACTTACAACAGGGATATCAAGTAGCGGAACGTTTCCTCGAATGTCTGAAGCTGGTGCTCGAGAAAAACAGACGACTGCCTCTCCCTTATCTGAGTGAGTCTCATCAAGCGTATAGTGACGATTGAAGTGATAATAGATGACCGACTCGTACGTTGAGATCGCTTGTAATGGCGACAACATCGGAGTTGCAATCCCTGCTTAAGAGCTGGTGGAGTTCATGATAGAAGTCATCCCTGACGCAGTCGCAACTACAGTCAGTTGGAGTGTACGTTGAAAACACAAACAAGTTGTGCCTCTCCTCACGATATCTGTTGATCCTGCATGACCCCCGAACCCGAACTGCACACAATCGGTTATTAATCGAGAACCAGTTCAGCAATACGGCCTCAACTTTGCTGCTTAGTCAGCTAAGCCCGCCGTAGCTGTTTCTGTCAACTGATAGACGTAGGTGAAACATGGCACAGTGGACGGTGGGAGATTTCAAATTAATCACTGTACTGGGAGGTTGCAAGCGGGTTTCGGAAAAACATCGAACATCGATGGCGGTGAATTTAAAGGTGAGTACAAGAACAGCCTGCTGTCTGATCTGCATGAGTGGAGGTACATTGAAGCATGCCAGACAGAACGAGGACTGAGGCCGAAGGAGAGCTACTGGGCGAGCTCCGTGGGCGTCGACGAAACCATCAGAAGTAGGATCATGTAAACAGGGATCAGCTGGTAACGGACAACAATGGTTGGTAACAAATGAAGAGGATTGCGTGTGCTGATGTATGAATAGCAGAGGCAAAACAGCTGAGCAAGGTATAACAGATGTACGGTCCATGGTTTTGTCACTGGGTGTGATACTACCCGATTGCCCAAGTCGAAGTAGGGAGTTGTCTTAAGGGACAGTATCCCGAGCCTTTGGCTAAATAGCTTGCCTGCAAGGTAGCGGGGCGAACTAAGGGAACCGCACCCAATGAGGGTCGGTGACTGAATGCTCAGTTCACACATATTTTGTTTAGTCTGTTAACAAACAGGGGTCCGATCCTCCCCACAATTTCGGCACATTTGATCCGGGGTGGCGAGTCACATCCGCCACGTAGCAGTGTTGTTAAACAGACATTTGTGGCTTCCCTAGAGAGAACGCATGCCATGCGAAAACCCAACATGCTCTGGAACACTGCCGCCGAAGAATTAGCTAAAACGGAGTAAACCCGGATCACCAGGAAGGCGCCATGATGCAGTACATCAAGGCTAAATACTACGTGAATTAGGAAGAAAACGAGTGATGCTACGCAGCTGCAGGTGATTATAGGTGATCATCAGTCCTCTAGCGTTCACAATGAGTAGTGACCATCATCGGTTCATAGATAAAACGCCTGCATTGCAAAGGCGTAGGCTCTGTTTATAATCTACGAACTGATCTCAAGCAATCGCCATTGGGGAAAGATATCAGCAGTACCCCAGTACCCAGCTCTGATGTTTCGCTACCATGTAACTGCAGGCGGTTGCATGTGGGTTGGTGTACTGCATTAGTCCAAGTGCTTGCAGCCGGTGGACTTGAAACAGAGATGGAAAGTTGAGACGCGCTAGAGGAGCAACAAATGACAGGACAATTGATTGATCACAAAGGTAAACAGTGGGGAAATTGTCCACAAAGAAAGTGTGTAGGTGTAACGGCTTAAAGGTAGGATAAAGATTTTAAAAATGTGTGCATTTTGCCCGAGCTGATTTTAAGTTGATATCACATGCACAGCGCGCTCTAGTCAACCCAGCCCATGCAGTGCGAAGTAGTTTAAGTACGCTAAACAACACGCGCATGATCCATATTTACAGACCCGCGGGAGGTATTGTCCGGTTAAGTTCTTCAAACATCTGCATCGTGTCGTCCAATGTCAGCTCCGCGGCTTTAACCAATAGGGTGCACAGTCGGAAAACGACAAAGGTTCAAGTAGACGGGCGGTGGGTGCGCAAGGGATGTGAATCCGTCAGCGCAGAAAATGTGAGCCTCAGATATTCGAGCGTGGCATCAAGGGTTGTGGCGTCGAAAATCAAGCAATGGGTAACTGCACTGTTCACATGGCGGTATCACCGGATATGAAGGAGGATAATAAAAGATTCGTGAAATCGAATTGTTGAACTTAGAGCCAATGACTCTGGTCTATACGGCAACATTGGTCAGACAACAACACCGTCCATCCTGATAGACAAATCAAAGTTCTCGTATCGCCATGAGAGATCCAGGTCCAAAAAAGTATCGTGGAGTTCACCTGGTCTACGGTTACAATGACAGTGAGTTGGTCAGGTACAGTTCCGATTGATCGCATGACCACAATAACGAAGAGCAATGGATGTGCTAATTTATTACGCTTGTGTCCTAGGTGTATTGGATCAGGGGAAAATGGGACATGGACGTGATTATACAGGATAAAAAACCACCTGATATATGAGTCAAAGCAACGAGAAACGGTCAAACAATTTCGAAACCAACCTTGATGATAATGTTTCCATCATCAGCATCATCTTCGACTTCCTGCAAAACTTCAGATGGAGCAAACTTCTCAACTGTTGTTCCGTTGCGACTGTACTCTTCAAAGTGCTCATCAGTAATATCCGAAGTGTTGTGTTCCACAGCAGCCTCCGATCGCTGATCGGTTGCTTCTGGAGGAGCATCGACGGTAGGGGTTAAGTCGATTTCCTGCGGTAAATCAGCAGTGGCATCATCTGAGGCAGAAAAAACGTAGACAGGGATTATAGAGTGTGATTAATCAGAAAACCCAAAATAATGCGCAACTACATTCGAAAATTTAACAACCGGTACATTCAAGGTATCGCAGAATCATGAGTAGGTAATATTGATTAGAATAATGCACCATTTTCGGAGCCAGACAACTGGACCAACCTTTTTCTGTATTTGACTCGTCTGCAGAATCTTTTTGTATCCAACTGTCATCATCTTTTGGACGAGCGGGACAGCGAAGTTGAAGGTGATCATTCAAAAATGAGCGCGTTCGTTCCACCAGACTTAAGTAATCCAAGATGATCCGAGGCACCTGAGGCAGAGGCGGGTCGCCATCTTCGCTACGTAACAGGAGATGATCCCATGGATTCAGCAGTTTCGACAACCGAGGTGCAGCGAATTCGATTAACTCCTCATCTGTGGCAGCAGCAACAGCCTAAAAAAAGTGAAGCCAGTTGGAAGAAGAGCAAAACACCCACCTCCTTAAGCTTTGCCCGACGTTTCATACTCGCAACATAGGGGTTCACTTGTCTAAACCTTGGCCTGCCATCGTTTGGTCCGTGCCTAGCACTTCGGTGCCTTGCCACACCGGCGCGGGAATTGAACACTCTGTCGCACATAGGACAGGGGTATAGAGGAGCTGCGTTGAGTATAAAAAGAAGAACAGACATGCGCAGAAACTATAACGATCGCCGCAACGGTGGTGAAATCACTCAAGTCACCACTTGATGCAATTGGTGGTTACGTAGACAACGAACAGTTCAAGATGGAACAGAAGAATCAAGCTGCAGTGCGGGAACGACATCAACCAGTATGAAAATAGAGCTACGTTAAAGGAAATGGACATAATGGTTTGAAATATATGTGCTTAGCTACTCCCTGCTTTACCACCTGTTCTAAAAAATGAGATAAAATAATGTCGATGAATGGAAGAGTATAGCATACAATTGAATTCTGAGAAAATGGGTACAAGAGCGATAAGTTTAAGACGGGGCCAGTTCACCCCTGCATGACAACTGTTTTGGAACATGTGTCTTGGTTTTCATCATTTGGTACTCTGTTGATGAGCTTCCTTGAGAACACAATGAAGTGTGGAAAAACAACTTCTCCAATCGGTGACTGAGAAGTTACTGCAGCTCATATCGGGCAAATCTATCGAAATGCTCTGCAAATCATGTTTTAGCACTTTTATTCGGGAGACATAGAGCTCTGTTCAACGAGTTTTGATGCACCCACAAAAGCAAGCGTTTCTGACTGGAGCACTATCAATCATCACCGAAAGATCGGTGAACGTGTAAGATGCCAGCGATATCCGGAAGAACGCTTCCACACTGGTTATCAAGTGCAGTCTAAAATGGTTCGAGCTGACAAGGTGTGGTGAGCTCCGAGCACGAGAGGTGTCCATTTGTAAAAATCGTGTATTTGCTGGGCGATATTCTACTTTTTACGCAAAAGCTTCTTCAGGTCAGGTAAACTAGCTGAAGATTTGCTAACATACTACAGGAAGCGTGGACAAAATACCAAATAAAGAGATGTTGCAAGCATATTGCAATATATCGAAGCTCAAGATGTGGATGAGGCGACCAACAATTAATCTTCCAATTAAACTACTCAACTTTCGGCTACCATTATGGTCTGAGAGTCCAACGAGCTATCAAATCTGACCATGGGGACCTATGGAGCACGGCTCATTTCTGGTAGCATCATCATCCGCGCAAAGTTCAGATACGCAAGTGAGTAGCACAAGATGAGAATCCGGAGTTTGATGGACGCACAAATAAGATTAACAAGGGAAAATAAATCAAGTGCGTTAGTGTGGGCATGTGGTGCATATGTCCGCTTACCGTTTATTGAGAGGAACGCTGTTGCGTTGACGCGTGAGTGATCACTACTGGTGTACGGGTGGGGCGCTTCTGACTCACCTACCCTTCCATGCAGATAGCATCAGCAGTAGGCCGGTACGTAGCACCAACACTTCGCTGTCGCGCAACTACCAACAGTCGCGCGTGGACTAAGGATACTGCGAGGATCGCCCGGTCGCCTACACAGGCTCGAACGCGCGACCACAGGATCCCGAGGCCAGCTCATGATCCTTAAGGTCAGAAACGAGCCTTGCATGCAGATGCTGGATTAGGTGTGTGAAAAGGTCGATGATAGTACGGGGCAGTGAAATTAACAGGGAAGTAATCCTGCTGACGCCATTCCATATTTACGAGACGACTAGTCTTCGTGACCTCGCGATACTAGAAAGTGCATGCGCCCTGATGCTAATATCTCCCGTGATTTATGAGTTTATGCCAGCCAAGGAGCAGCACAACGTTCGTGTATCGCTGTCGTCATCATGACGAAAACAACTGCTTTATCCACTACAATATGCTGTCAGTAGGGAAAGAAAAGGGAATGGAAACCAACGATCGCTGAGGGGGGGTGTAACTGACACCCGCATGCCCATACATTTCTCCTAAGTTGCTAAATCGGTTGTTATTCCCAACCGCCAACCACTCATTCCAAAGTGTGACGATGTGCGTCCGCTACAGAATTACCGGACAGAGAGGATCACTAAAGGAGAAGACCCAATAGTAACAGAGGAGGACTGATACAGTACTAAAAAATATAGCTAGCACAGATAAGAAAAATAACAACTCTAGCCAATATTCCTCTTCGATCCATACGCACAGAACTAGAAACTGGGCAACCCATGGTGGATACGCCCTAAAATTCTAAAAAGCATGGAAAAGAGCCAGGGACCAGGTATGGTAGGACCACAAACAAGTACAGTGCAGTCCTTGGCAAAATATCACTGAAGGGAAGAAATTGATTTGTTAAGTTCAGAGCACAGTCGGTAAGTAAAACATAAGAGCGCTCCAGTCAACTCAACAAGTGGGACAGGAAAATGAATCCAAATTACAAAAGAGACAATGGAAACAAAGCAATTAGCCAAAAAGTGGAGCGGTCACGTGCAAGGGAAATGGCATCTTTTTCCAGTTTCCCGACTAGCTCAGTGTTCACAAAGGATAGATATCTGGATAAAGCCGGATCCTGGTCCCAAAGGCAATGAAACGCTCCATGTTGGTGCTCATCAAGTGCGTGCACCTGGGAATAAACAGCTGTGTGTCAAGAACGCGGGAGCTGATGTCCTGACCAGGAACGACCAGTCGAATAGGAGATTAAGCACCAGTCGAAAAAACCGATGATTTCCACGAAGTTCTGGAGAGACGATGACAGAAAGTTGCTTTGAATATCATTTTCCACGGGGGGGGAGAATGACTGTGTCGGATTACCTTTGTGACTACTTGGGGATTGATGATCCTACTACAACTAGTGCACAAGCTGCTGGAAACATGTTACGATGGAAATCCCGTAAACAGGAAATACCTGAAGAAGTGATCTCTGCTAACGGAAATGTCTAGTAGTGCGAAATTCCGCAGCTTGGGTGAGAAGTGGGATTTATCTTACCGACTCACCAGTCGAACGGAAAGGATGAGTCAGCAATAAAAGAGGCGAAGAAACTACCTTGCAAGACCAAACAGACGCATGAGGATCCCTACTGGAAGGAAGAAACACGCCGTCTATGGAGATCACGATAAATACAGTTCACGGTTGTTCAGTAACAGAACAAGGACGTTGTTATCAGCAGTTAAGATACTACTGTAATGGAACTCTACGGCAAAAGAGCTATTATGATCGTCGATCGTGACGTTTTCTACAACAAATTTTAGGAAGCTGGAGCTGATAGCCGTTGGAGGAATCTGCCATTGAAAGCCATAGGGGGAGATAAGTTATGAACTCAGAGTTGGAAATAACATCATCCGAAGGAATCGAGTAGAGCTCAGAAGACCATACGAACGTACGCTGCAACGTGAGGATAAACAGCAGTAACGGGACCAGACTACCATCGCAACGCAGATCGGAAAGGCTATACGAAATAGAAAAATACACCGAAAGCATAAAAACATCAATGCAACAAGAACGAGAAAAGGACGTAGGGATGGCTGGTTACTTGGATGAAGACAACCTACACGGTGTAGGCAAACAGGAAGCCAGCCAGTCGCCGGTGACACAAACTGACTATGTTTGCACCAGCCGGAGTGAGAAATCAGAATTGGTGCAGCCTAAAGTGACCAAAGTACAGCTTTGTCAAGAACAAAGGAAAATTGGACCGGATGGACGAAGGAGAACTGATGCCGCCAGGCTGGAATCAAAGTGGACGTAGTTGTAGAGAAAACAAAAGTGGATTGCCTCGGTCAGAATGGACGAGCAGTGAACATGGAGACACGACGAAAGAAAAAGTGACAAATGTGAAGCCGTCGGAATAAAAAGCGCTCCAAATTCCTGCATAGTACAAACGCACCTTCACCTTACGAATAAGAGATTTGGATGCTTGTCCGGACTTTACACTGACTCTCGAGGGCTACACAACAAAACATCCTGGTATATGCGATCAGGGACCTTCAACTGTGCAGTAATCACTTACGCAACCCGCATGCAAGCGTATTTTGATACGCACGCAAAATATCTGGCTTCGTTCGTTGGTGAGGGTTTATGCGCTCACAGCGTCGTCGCAAGCGCCCATAGAAGAGATCGGCACATACAATTGCGTGATCGCAGTCCACTCTTGTGGTCCAAATCGAACGGCACAGCCTCTCAAACGGCAACTGACCGCGATGTGATCAATTTGCATTCAGGACTGGTCGGCACCATGCCATTCTACTGGGATACTGTGTCGGATGTTAGTGCTCGGGAAAATCAGACGAACAAGTTAATACAAACGTGACAACTGATTACTGTTATCATTGAGAAAACCGACATAGTTTTAGCCACCCAGATGCACCAGGAAACGGTTTTACGAATGGCCTTTGGCTGTTTCCTTCACTCTGTAAAATCTGCTACAGCCCTTGCAAGATCTTAATATGTTCCCTACGGTGGTTGTGATTGTGTAATCCTGTGAAATCTTGATCATGTTGGAAAGGTCGTCTCGAAAAACCGAGAATATCCATTACATATTTACTTAATTTTCAACTTGAGCGTTCAGAGCATCCGCCAACATCAGTAACTGTATTAGTACTTTGAAGAAGGAGCTCGTTCAGTTAGTGAGCTTGGGCATCTTTCACTGAGTCATTGCAGCAGTTTGTGGGGGTGTTGCTCGCAATGACAAGCCGACACCGTTTGTCCCCGTGCGACTTCGAAGCTTTAAACGAGCCAACTGATTTGATGACGCATATTCGGATGTTTATTGCGGTCGAATCGATCGGGGCAGTTAAAGCCCGAAGACTTAGAGCTACGTCCAAACCGAGTGGTAAAATTTCGCCAGTGTCACATGAAGGGGGAGGGCCAAGAATGAGTGGGTTGAAAACAGGGAGACAAGTGAAGTTGGAATGGGACGATACGGATGAAGAACACGTAAGAGGAGGAATAAGAAGACGAGTAGGCTGAAGCAGTATCAACCCCACCCCCTATCCAACTCGTTCGATGCAGCAGGCAGGGCGTCGCTGATTATCCTTCGCGACAACCAGAGCATCAAAATCGTGTTTGAAGTCAATGTATTGCTGAAACTCAGTGCACTAAACTAGCCGATCGATGATATGCACCACACCACGAGGCAAGCTAACCAGAAGAAGGATTAAGAGATGGCTACGAAAAATGGAAAGAAGTCAAGTCAACACTCCGGTAAAAAGCTTCTCACCTTTAGTCCCACCCTCTTCCGACCAAGCGTCTTCGGACAGTCCATCGTTGATGTAGTCAGAGTAACCCCCGTCAGAATGTTCGTCACCATCGCTTGACTCAGGTTTCGTTGTGAGATCTTCCAACCTAAGATGCTTGTAGTCCTTAACCTAAGTGAGGCAGATAGTCAGAAACGATGCAATAAAGTAAAAGCCACACAGTATCAAAAATGTGTAGAATATGGAGTAACTAAAAGAAAGATAATAGTGGGAATAGCTGTGATAAACTCGGTGCCGAATTACCTGATCGCGTTTGTAGACCGTACATGTCTGTTATCCACAAAAAAGATAAACCTAGTGGGAATGCTAGGTGAATGGCGGGGAAAACCCAAAATAGACTTGAACAAAGGACAGAGCACAAAATAAGTGCAATTTACCGAAAACTATTACGATGCTGCTGACATTTTTAGGTGGAATACTTGCCGAGATGAGGTAGTTGAGGCTAAAAAGGCAGAAGTTGAATGAGGAGAGGAAAAGATAAAACTCGTAGTACATTGGTTGTTAAAAGGTGACCCTTAACGAAGCAGCTCGAAAAAATGTTCACAATGAAAATAATGGGGGAGGGATGAGAAGAGCGAGACAACAAGCTGAGGACGACGGCGAGTGTTAAGCGGTAAAGTGTTCGACTTTATTTAATTTAGCAGCTGACAACACCGCTGAAGTAGACTATATATATATATATATATATATATATATATATATATATATATTACAATTGGCGGAGTGGCACATAAAAAGCAACAAAAAAGGCATCAGCAGTAGGCCGGTACTCAGAACCGACACCTACGGGCCGGCCTGAAGCAAAAAGGAAGGATTTCTGGTTACTTGCATAGATTTAAAAGGAGAAAAAGTGGATGCAAATAACGGATTTTCACTGAACAAGTTTGGAAAATGATGGAAATGACTGTTACACAGAAACAAGAGACTAGATGAAAGAGTGTCACTGAGTCCGTAACTAAATAATGTCAGGTTTTACACTACTCAGCGGACAAAGCCCATATAGAGATACACAGTCGATAGACCCCTTAGGAATGTAGTTAAATTGACATATGCAATTAAGCTAGTGCACCTTGCTAATCACTGACAAACTGCAATAGCATTGTTCGAGACTCGACCATGAGAAACACTTGGCCGCTCAGATAAATAAGCCGATCGGCAAAAGTTATTGCTTGGTAGTTGATTACGAAAGCCAATGGTATGCCGGTACAATCCCATAGCAGTGGCTAATTTTTAAAGTGCGGACTATAAGCCGAAATATGTAGCGCCCTGTGCCAGTCTGTTTGGTAGCACTGGCGCAGCGATCAGGTTCGGTCCCAAAAGGTCACACGGTCAAGTGCGATCGGTTGCTTCCCAGAGATCACACTTCAAATGTAATAAAAAACAGAGGAGCATCTATGAATTTAGTTGCAAAAATGAGAGGAAAATAAAGACAATTGGGAAGCACGCTATCATTTGTTGTAGCGAATTCAGTGAAAAGCTTCACGTATATCATTACAGAGCTCCAACTGCCACAGAACAGGAAGTTTCGTACAGAAAAGTACCCTTTAAGGATAGACAGCGCCATAAACAGGCGATATCAATAGAATCGAAAGCATTGTCCGATTACGGATAATGATCACAGTAGATGGTCAACATGTGGTAGTCTTCTAGTAACAGATGAGGTGCAAAACCATCTAATACATCTTCTATCCAGGACTAATGGTTAGGGGCAGTAGGAAAGTTGAAGGCAATGTAAATAAGGATAATGTCTAGATTACTTGTGCAGATGACCATAGAAACACATCAATTCGAAAACACAGTAGTTCAGAGAGAAGTACTCAATCCAACAACAACAAACGATCAGCTATCGCACCCTAACAACGAAGCAACGAGGTAGTCTAGGTTCTGTGCCATGTTTAAATTTGAGGGTATCAATTCATTTCGAATATACCCAATGTTAGGAGGTTAGACTAAGGCAAGTTCAGTTGATTTTGGAATCAATATTAACACAAATGGCTGACTGGATCAATCTTCGGAATACTGCATCCAGTTAGCATCTGCCTTCCTAGCCGTGGGGGTTAGAGATGAGAACCATGGTTCATGACCAACAGTTTCATGGAGCCTAAGGCGGAACAACAAAAAGAACCAAATTCTCAGATGTTATCTACTAACTAGGGTAGTGTAACATGATTCATGTGGATATTCGCTAGAATCCATTCAATCCCATTAAGCATTTGCGGTAAAGTTACATTAACAGCGTAGACGCCTCGGATTACCGAGCACGAGCCATCAGATGTGGACAGTATATAGAATAATCGCGAAAGTTGGGGGCAAGTGAACGGTGATATGTACGTTATCTTCTGGACAAAGCACCGTGGGAGGCATGTATGGCCGTTGGGTGACTTGAAAGAGGAAAAAAAGCAAGACACTGCACAATGTCTAAACCACTGGTCTAAAGCAGATTCAAGGTAACCGTCAGTCTGGGTCGTCAAAGCATGAGTAGTTACCTAGCCTTTAGCCTACGTGGGCAAGATAGGTAGGGAACGTGGAAAAAGGACAAGAGTATAACATCGAGGACCAAATGTTAAGGGTGGAAAATAAGCACTGGCATGTAATTCCGAATGCGCTTGTCCGAGGTAGCACCCATTGATTTAACAATCTGATCCAAAAGCTGTGGGGAGGGAAATTAACCTAGTTGTAACTGCAAAGTGCCAATAGAATCTGCTTCAGGCTGGACACGTGATTCCGAAAAAATGCACTGGTTCGCCAACCGTATCAGATAATGGAGGCATGAGCACACTTGCCTACGAGTGTCTTGGTCAAATTTGCCAAGAAGCAGGTTAAGTTGGGGCCGGTGGTGGCAAGCCGATGATCAGGAGCTGTGTTCTCCTACCGTCAGAGAAAACGCGTGCTGTTCGTGATTTATGCTAACAGAACCGAGTAATGCCTTGTATACCGCATTATACAGACGACCTCATTACAAGCTCGCGAGATGGAAATGCTGGGAATGAGTTGACCTGCATCTTTGGATTATCAGACATGAGCAGCCCTGAAGGAATTTTGAAACTGCAATATGAAAAATAGGTATCAGCAGTGCTCCGATATGCTGTACCGACGTTTCGTTGCCGCGCGTGAGCTAAGGGTACTGCGACGGTCGCCTGGCCCCCTACGCAGGCTATTACCCGTGCCCTCGGATTACAAGGAAGGCTTGTGACCTTTTAGGCCATGGACCGGCTTGGATACTGCACAAAAGGTAGATAAAGGGACACAAATTAACACCATCATCATTATAAACGTTAGCCAGAGATGGGAAACACCAGCTACTGTGCCGCAATACACTAAAAAGGGGGAAATGCCCCAAGTGCAAGCCAGCTGAGCTACCAGTAACGGATGAGCATCGTTCAGGTGAGCTACCAGCCGGCTACTATGAAGCAAAAAATTACTATGCAAAATTATCTGAGGCTAAATAGTGAGATCGCGCTTGGAGGGGGAGGCTAAGAGGGATGGGGTGCGACAAAGAAACTCACAACACGAACGCCACTGAGGTCGGCTCCTAGCCATATCAGCAATTGTATTAAAAATTAAGCAAACCACGGAATCACAGCGGCGGGAAAGACTGGACACATCTGGGGAATTAGCAACCGGAGAGCATCATTTGGCCACAAGGCTCCGCGTTCGCTCATCCATCACTTGCCTCAGCTTTTCCAATAATACTTAATTAATGCTCCTGTTCGTACACCTTCAGTGCTGACCAGTGGCCTGTAATCTGCACATCTGGCTCGCAATCATAAGGTCATCGGTTCGAATCTGCGTAAGGGCAGGCGTCCTATCAGTATATGCAGTCCACGCGCAACTGGTGGTAGTCACGCGGCAGCGAAGCGCCGTTACGGCGTACAGCTGGCAATTTATTATTATTATTATTATTATTATTATTATTATTATTATTATTATTTACACCTGAAGTGCTTCCAATTGGAGTAGTTAGTGAAGTCATCGTGATAGTGGTAATGCGAGTAAAATCAAGTGGATCGACTGAGCCACACTGAATAGATCACAGCCACTGAAGTGAACACTTGAATCTAATGATCTGAGCGAAATGAAAAGGCGATGCAGCGACAGTAATGACAGAATTCACAAGGACATATGCCAAGTGAGATTATGAGGGCGACAGAAAACTGCTGAGAAACAAGTTAAGAAACTAACCAAGTGTCTAGGCGGCTTCGAAATGCGACCGGAAGTAGACGTCCTGCGCGCTAGCGGAAAGGGTAAAATTTCCTCCTCCGGAACTTCCGGCTCAAAGTCGGGGTCGTCTTCATCGGAGTCCCGCTTGCGTCGTTTGCGACCAGGAGTTCCTCTACCACGACCCCGACCCCTTCCCCTCATAGGAGTCGACTTTGCTCGGTACGGACCGGACGAGACGCGACGGCCAGGGACATCGTGTCGTCTTTTAGCACGAGTGACACGAAAAATAATGCGCCGGTTCGTTAGACGGTTATATATCGCGTTTGGCCGAGAGCCACTGCTGGAAATAAGTGCCTGGTTAGTAAGAACCTGGATAATTTGCTGTAGGTGTTCATCCGACACGTCCTGAGTTGTAATATATTGGTTTCCCTGCTGTATAATCCGAATAGGATTTTTATTAGAGCCAACGGGAGCGTTGGGATCGGCGGCGGGCATACGAGCTTGAATTTTCTGGACTTCCTCTAGGTCAATGGGGTCCATACTCAATTCATTCTGTGCATCGTCTTCAGGTAACATACCGGGCTGCGTCCGGTTATAGAGAATGCCAGTGCTTTCATCGATATACTCTTGGTGCTGTGATGCTGTCGCATCGGAGACAACTGAAACAGGGTAGACCATTTGGTTACGTGAGTCCACTGATTCACTGACACTGTCTATAAAGGATTCTGAAGTAACAGGGATTTCAGTTGCATCGACAATTTCGATGTGGCCTTGTTGTACCACATTTGGAGTGAACGTGTAAGGCGCTGTCGTGACGGTATGCTGCTGAATAGATTGCATAGGCTGAGGACTCTAAAGAGGAAAAGTAAAAGATCGAGACCATTAGTAGGTGAAAATAAAACTACGAAAGTAGGAAGTAGAGCGCCAAAAGAAACAACATTTGATCGGGGATGTGTGAATTGTGAATTGTGCTGAGGAATCAGGCAAAAGACATCGTGTGAGATGCTCCATGAAATTGAAAAAATTCGGATGGCTCTTATTGTACAGGCATCTGCAGCAAACTACTGCCGTGCAACAGGGTAGATTAGGCAAGAAGTGAGCGCTAAATGGTTAATGCAGTAAGTTATCGGCCCATCGGTAGACCGTGCTTTGGAGTTCACGTTAACAGACTTGAACGCTGACACATATATAAGTACGATGGATGTTATGTACAAAATTGACAGATAACTACACGCCAACCTAGGAGAGCATATACACGAGTAGAATTGTCCTGAAGGCTGTGCCACTACTAACATACGGGTGAGGAAGAGCGAACATGAGAAAAAAGGTCGAGGGTGGCGAATAGAACAAGACAGAAAGTAGAGGTGACGATTCCACATTAGAAAAGTGTCTGATACTGAAAATAAAGGATAAAAGTAGTGTGCGACATTAATAGGATAGTACATGGTCGAGTTCCTTATATTTAATTGCCAAGCTTCGTGGGAGCGCTCGGCAGGAACAATCACGAAGTAAAAGCACCGGAGCAGATGAAAATTATGACTGAATATACCAATGGTGTGCAGAAGCATAGTAAAGTTGCACCCACCAGCGTATACAGTGGGAGAATATCACATTAGAGCCCCATGCTAAAGTAATGGATCAATTGCGATTCAGGGCACAAATCACAACTGATCAGCTGAAATGAACGGTTTCTGGGGAATAAGTTCCGCTGAAGTTAAAAGCAGTTTAGATCAGCTGGTTTATCATATACCATTAAGCAAGATGAGATGGACACGTAGGTAAAAAAAACGTTACAGTAGTTTAATATTAATTATTAAAATAGAGAAAAGGACAAGTGCAGGTGAGCGAAAATGAAGCGGGATCTGTTGGAGATAATCAGATAAACAGGAAAGATCGGTCGAATGGGAACGCGCTAGTTTTATCGCGACGACTCCATGTTGAGTAAAGAGCATAATCATTACGATGGTCGATTCCGAGGTACCATCCAGAAAAAAGTAGGTACCGGAGTGATCCGTTTGTTCGGTGATAAACAACGACAAACGCGGGACGAGACCCAGTCAACATAAACGGATCAACGCGAACAGACGATACAGTGCAGCGGATGATTAGTCGTGAAACGCCGACTAATGGGCACCGGCACTAGACATGTGGTGTAGTCAACAGATATAGAGGAAAGCCTCGTAAGCGGAGTAGTTAAGTCTCTGACATAAATCATGGTACACCGTATCCTTCACATCGAAGCTAGCGCGGCTGACTGATCCACGTCATACTCTTCGGTAATTTCAGCACCAAAAGCAATAGCCATAAAAGTAAATCGACGGATCGCGAACTTCTAGTCTAACCAGTGATGATGATAAGAACAGGTGATATGCAAGTGATGATTGACACCTCCGCGGTATGGAGACTACGTTAACATGTGCTCCACTTTCCACTATCCCCACACGGTGACATTTGCATAACAGTTAAGTTCAACCCCGAAAGGAACACATTCCATGCCCGTACTTTAATTGTCTCAATAAGTCACCATGCAGAACCGCTAATTCAGCAAACATTGTCTTTCCGATAACAAAGCTGGATAGAAAAGAAAATGTAAGGCGATCCTAATTACGCCTAGTGGGTTGTAAAGTTCTCTACAGGTGCTGTAAAAATGGAATCAGCAGTACGCTTGTACGAAGTACCGACGCTTCACTGTCGCCAACCACCAGTCGCGAGTGGGCTAAGGATACTGCGAGGGACGCAAGGTCCTCTACGCAGACTCGAACACATGCCCTCCGATTATATCAATCATCATCATTATACACGCTAGCTGCAGATGGAAAACATCTCAGTTATGGTGCCGCAATACAGAAAAAGAAAAAAGTGAGAGGCACGTCCACTGAGTCACCAGTAACGGATGGACAGTGTACCGGAGAGCTAGCAGCCGGCTATTGTGCCGCAAAGCGTCATATAATGTCTAGTAACTGAGATCGCGGTTGGCGGGAGAGGCTAAGTGGAGGTGGAGAGAGAAAGGAACTCACAACATAAACATCGTTGAGCTCTGCTTCTAGCCATGTCAACAAGTGTATCCAACCGATTAAATAGGACAGACAAGTGATCCTTTAGAGGCCATGGGCCGACTCGTGGACTGTGGAGAAGTGAGAAAGAAGATGCAAGTAGATTCCCAAAGCAGTACCCAGGCAACGCTGTTTCGAGCTATCACCAGGTCGCCTTGATATGTTATGATAAACTAGGTGACGTTTCATAAGCGACATAGTCTTCTCACTAGACGCAATTCCAAAAATAACAATTTACTGCTCCACAAAACTTCTAACCCAACCAAAAGAAAAAGCAGAACGCCAACGACTTTGACAAAATAACGCATTAATCGCCGCCAACAAACACTATACAACTACTGCGGACCTTGGCTGTATTTATAGGTCTGTTACAGACCTTTGACTTCTAGAATTGGAACGTCAGCAACCAAGGTTAGTGGTTCCCCATATCTTTTGCGGGGGCGTCAGGTGGTTTTTAATCACGTGTAAAACTTTGAAGACTCCAGAACGTTCGGAATCGATGCGGTAATCGTTAATAATCGATTAATCGCTAAAATAGTGGATTTCCAAGGCAATTCTTACATTCGCCTGGACAATAAGTGCATGAAAAACCAGACAAACCAGGGAGCAGTCTATAAAAATTTAGTCTCTGCACTTAACTCAATGGCCACCTCCTGTGTTAGAAACAAGATGATAGTTTAAGAGCTAAAAGCTTAACTAAATCAGCATGGAGCGTCGGTGAAGGTAAGAGCACACTGTTCTGGCACATTGACGTACGGTTACCAGCCTCAAACCAGGTCGCTCCTGATCGGTAATGTGCAGATTCGAAAAAACAAGTATATGAAACCTCTTGGGCGAATTCACGATACAGGTGATCAACACACACAAGAAGTCTAGGTAGTGTAAAACAAACAACGCTTCCACAGGATTTTTCGATCATGAACCCCTACCAAACCCGGTTCGAACTGCATTGTATATCAGATCGAGTCCATATAACTGGGGACCCGATGTTAGGACTGGGTTAAGCCTAAATCGGAGCAGCAAATCTTTCGTTGTTAAAATGAGTAATGCACAAGTGACTACAAATAACCATGTGCAGATATCGGAATAGCATATTCCTACCATCCAGCATATTTCTGTGGTATAAAATATCGTCCACATCGCTTGTACAGTAAAAACCTACTACATGCTGGTTCTCCGCTTTCTTATATCGCCAAAAACGCTTTCGCCTGTGGATGACAATGGTAGTGGCTCACTTTTAGTCCGGGAAATGTTCATTGCGCAAATACACTCTTCCTGTTCAGCCGCTTGAGTGCTGGCACACAAGACGCGAAAACAAATGGTCTATTCAGCTCTAACACGGGGAGACATAACATCTGAAAAATCGCACAAAGTTCTCATATCGAAGTGTGCAGTCTGGGAGTAACATCTGCCAAAAAGAGTCACTAGTAACCTTTTTGCTACTGGCGGCATCCTTCCATTTCCCTCGGTCTTATATTAAGCAACAAGAACCGTCCGCAATGAGACAAGATCTTATGGTTGGCTGCTGGCCAAAATGACAAGGCATTTGCCTTGTAATCCGGTTGCCGATAAGAATCTGCATTGGTGAAGGCAACCACGTAGTATACTCGACCCGTGCGCGACTTTTTGTGCTCTGATGGCAGCGAAGCGCCTGTACGATGTTCCGAAGAACTTCTGATGCCCATGGATTAAACTGTGCTCCCATAGTTGGCGTGCATCAAGGATTCAGCGATTTTCGTGGACAGCGTTTTCTACACCTATAAAACCAATTACAACAGATTAGGCTACCAGTCTTCCAAGTTGACGTTAGAAAGATGGTGGATCCCTGTTCCTGAAAATAGACTCCCCGCAATCTACTGACAAACTCCAGATAACTCGTGGTCGGCCTCTCGAGATTTTGGTTGAGAACCCTAACCGTTCTCCTATGTAGGTCTGGGTAATCTGAAAGTATCCTGCCAAGGCGATACAAAGTCATGAAAGAATTTCTGGCAGTCAAAAATAATAATTGATGATGCACTATTTACTGCATAGAGTGAAATGAATAAGGGAGAGAGTACCATTGCTCAGACCTTCCCGCCTCAGGCCTCTATTTTTATCAGCCCGTTTCAAACTCACTGTCACCCCATCACTTTTCTGCCCATCAATTCCCAGCCCACTTATACCTTGTTCCAACAAACGCTTCTTTTCCAGTTTCGACACTAACGTAAACGCACAGCGTCGCTCGCAACTTGTCGAAAAGTCTATATCCAACCAAGTGGACAACGTCAACTAATCCGCTTCGATTCAGGTCTTGCGATCCTCCTTAAAATTAGCATGTATCAAAGTGAGCTGTTGCAGATCGGTCGATAGACAGCACCTACCGTCGATCGCGATAGCTGCTTCTTATCGTACACAATACTCCAGCTCATGTAAGAGAATATATGTGTGAGAACATGTCTGTATACTTCTTCCCAGCGCTAACTTCGGACACAAGAATCGCAGCATGACATGGCGACAT